ACTACTACTACTACTATACACACACTACAACTATAATACGTAATAATATTATATATCTCGCGGTATTCCGTGTACTTGCACGTGATGTAACTTGCGTATAATTAGGTAATGTTATTATTGTATATATAGTGATCGAACGGCATCTGATATACCTGTTTGTCGAGTACAGCCTCCAATTCCAGTTGGCCGGGGCTGAACATGAAGTCTTTGCGGACTATRGTGCAAGGATGTCTACTCAAGGGACGCATGACCGGAGCAAACTGGATTTTGCGGATGCGCATCGCCACGGAACTCCTACAGTGAGAACAAAAAATAACAAAGATATAGACCGCAACTGTTTCTGTCCAACACGATTCGACCTCGTTTAAATCGGCGAAGGTCGCCAACGAAATAAACAGTGGCGTATCAAAATAATGTGTATTTTAAACCGACGTGTTTTCCTCCACACCGTTCATTTTACACGCCTCATAGTATTGTGTCAGATATCTAAATCATTTACGTTATTATTTACTACTGTGGTACCAAATCTCTACGTTCTGTTTGTACCTGGGTAGTAGTAGGTATACCTATAGAACATTATATGTTATTTATGTATGTTTATATTATAAGTTATAACCTCCACGATCTTAATGCGGTGTCGTCGTGTCGGTGTGCAATTAGTTAGTGTCGACAACTTTTCAATTTTTCTACTTTTTCACGTTTATCTAGGATAATAGTATAGAAAACACTTTTTCTGTACATAGTATTTAGCTATAATACCTGCTATCTTAAGGGCAGTAACTAAAAGAAAATAATATGGCACCGTAGAAGATTAATATTAATCTCTATTTTTCTTTTAATAATATAAAACATAAAAAACTGTCGGTTTCACTGATTTTTTCACTTTATATAAAAAGTGAAATGTGTATGGTGTATTATTTACCTATTAATTTTAAATAATTAGATATGAAAATATAACTTCGCATTAATAAACTTGCTGCACTATGTACACTATACAACTACTATAATTGCATTTCCATCGAATTTTACCCTCTAATAGTTTAATGCCGCATAAAGTTCTTATTTAATTAAAAAGTTTGTACTTGCACTAGTTGCACTACCTATACCCATATGAATAAGTTGTCATCATCAAGACAACAGACTTGATATACGTTTGATGACAGTTTAAACTTAATCTTAAAAGTTAAACAAATATACAAACAATTTTTTTCGGGGTTTACACTACTTCAAGTATTTATTTGGACGCATAATCGTTAAAAAATAAAAATAATATACATATCGTGTATGAAGTATAAAAAAAAACTGACACGATATTTAAACTAAAAAGTATAGATTACTTTGCACGGTTATGGTCAGTTTCAGCCTCCCCAGCGAATATTTTCACATAGTACTGGACACCACATGCATCAGCTGAATTCGATGTCCCATCTTGCAATATTACCGATGCCGGTGCATTCTCAGGAATTTTAAAACGGAACGGCGTGGCGTTACTCCCTAATTTAGACACTAAAMAATCCTATGACAAATCATCAACAATCAATTAATCAAATATGCGTAATAGACATTGTCCAACTACATAAAGATTGTGTTATGACATTTATTAGATATCATACGAGATTATATTTTAATTTATAATAATGATATTTTTACAAATGAATAATAAATTATAGTTGCTAAATATTATTTTCAATTGACTATATATCATAAGGTGGATAATAATATWATATATCCTCTTGAATACAACAAAGATTTTACTCATAATGTTAAAAATATACGTAAKAAAGGAAACCGTCTAAAATTTGAAGCATAAAGTCGTTTTGTTCGTTTTTGTATGTTACTTATATTATAAACATAATTACCTAGTAAATGCATAATAATAATATATTATATTATATTATTGTATTAGTGTTACCATTAATTTAATTATGTTATTTAGCTATTTTCATTTGAAGAAGCCTTTCATTGATGAAATTWAAATTTCTTAAARTAACTACGTATTACTACTAAAAAAATAAAAATAAAACAATAGATAACAATATTGATCAATAAATTGGGCTATAGTTAATATTATAATAAAAAAACAAACAACAGTTTATGAATTTAGATCACTTGTTTTATCTTTTTATCTTATATTTTAAAATAAATACCGTATGGCAAATACCTATTGTATTGAATAATACTTAGGTAAAAAATAATCCATCTACCGAACTAATAAACAATAGTTGATAACGTCAAAAAATGTCATAATATGCCGAATATTATTTAAGGTCTTATATTATCTTTTATATTTTTGCGAAATTGTTAAGCGTTTAAACCCATTGAATATTATAACTCCATTTAATGAAAAAAGTTTAAATTAAGCATAATATTAAATAACAAACCTCTTAAGGTGTAGGAAAACTACTGTAGGTATATATATATAACTAATATATGTAGGTAATCTAGGTATGTCGTTAGAAACATCTTGTTTTCAAATGTTTACCTGAATTTTAGTCAACTTCAATGGGTTGTCGTTCTCAAGAGGAGGATATATYTGTGCCGATGCCAAGTACATGTCTTTTTGAAAACACAATCCCATCACTTCATCCTCTTTTCGACCGTACCGAAAGCTGCACACTATTTGACCAAAAATTTTGCCACTTTTCAAATAAGAATTGTCCAACATGACAACTCCATCTATAACATGTTATATTTTATATATATAAATATTTGTACACTGAAATAGATATATTAATTTATAATTTACTATCTCAATAAAAATAAATAAATAAATTTAAATTTTAGTGTTTTACGTAGATGCAGAATATATTTCGAATTTTTAAAGTCCAATGATTTTACAATAGTATTTAAGCATCATAATTGAACATAATAAAATTAAAAATACAATGTTTGGCTTATGTATATAAAAACAGATTTTTATTTAATGTGCCTACATAAAGATACCTATATTTAAATATTTTAAAGAATAATATTGATGATTAAAATAAACTTATGGTTAACCTATAAATTACATGTGGAAAAAAATACTTAATTTTATACTTCTATAACATACTTGTTTTGACTTAAATGAATTACATTATACATTTAATATTATTGTATAACTTTTTTTTTTTAATTTAAACATTGTGTAAAAGTGTTTTTACATAATTAAATAATATTGTTTTAATGGTTTACGATTATCTTTTAACTATATTATATCTTATAAGTACCTACTATTGATCACTATTTTTCATAATGCCTAAAAATATTTTACATAATTGACCATAATTGCGTACCAATTTATTCAAATTTATTTCTGCCATAACGCTCATAATAGTAACGATGAATAAATTATCCACAATTATCATAAGCTGCTGTTATATACAATATACATAAATGTGATGATGGATATTTTTCGTAATTATTTATTCTCTGATAATATTTAGATATATATTAAATTAAATAACGGGCCATATATAATACACAAAGCGTAACAGGGTCGTTGGCAGTAGTCTAGATATTTTGATCTTCACGTGACCTCAAACTTGAGRACTAACAGTACAGTCACATTATTAACTTATRCATTATATTATAATAATAATRCAATTTGAAATTTAAAACAAAAAAATAATTCATCGGGTTGCGGTGCTCAGATACTATAAGTGCAGTACTGCAGCCATTATTTCATACAATGCGTTTAAAATTTAAAAAGTGTTTATTCGACAGAATTCATCAGATAGGATTTTAAAAATGTGTGAACTCAGCATTTTATCTGGCTATAGTCGAATATTTGAAAACTTGGATTAATATTTTAATAAAAGTTTCAGGCATTGATACATGATATAAATAGGGTTCAGAACTATATAAATTAATATTTTATTTCATGTGTTTTATCTCATATAGATAAAATATTTAAAACGATTTATTCTATCTATGTAGATAATAAAAAACTGTCATCTTTTAAAATTATCCTGATAATTTTTTATTCTATCTTTTATTATATTAGTTATATAATATAAATAATAATCAAACATAATATACTTTTACTGATAGTAGGGAGTAATTCTATGGACGAGCGATGCCTGAACACAGCTAAAAAAAACTGGTATCTAAGTACAATCTTAATTTTATATATTTCAATTCAAATAAAGTTAACCCAATTTTCATATTTTTATACTAAGTACCAATCAGGTTAACATAGATAAAGTAAATAATGTTATGATATTAATATTATAGGTACTTTATGTTATGTAGTTTAATTTATTTATAATGTAAGTATGTGTAGTACTGTAGTATAATATGGTAATATGTTCAGTTTTCATTTTAATATGTAATATGGTAACTAAGCACTTTTAAAATTATTGTTTTATTTACTTATACAATTGTATTGTAAATATAATGTAACAATACAATATAAAACATYGATGCATACACCATTTTAATTGCTATACAAGTGATTCACCAAGTGAGTTCACCCTCTTTTTACTTTTAATAAAAATCTGATTTTGAAAATATGGTCTTTCAGTAYATTTAAAGATTCCAAAAATCAGATTTTGGATAACTTCATTATTAAAGAAAAAAAGGGGATGAGCATTCTTAATGAATTACCCTGTATATTATAATTATTAAATTTGTATGATCAGATATGGTAATTTGATAGTCTATGTAAATATTATCTAGATTATAGATAACTTTTTCCTGAAACTATCTTATAAGATATCAATTATCTCATTTAGAGGATTTTAGTCAAAATTATTTATGATCTTATTTAGATAACTACTTAGTTATTATTATCTATTCCTAAAATTACATATAAAGACAGAAATATACTTGACTTTACTATTACATACTACTTAGATTTTAAAATTGAATGATGGTCCACCTTCCTTAAAATTATAATATAACTAGTTTTAAATAAAAATATATTGCATTAATAAATTCAATAATGTCCACTATCAACTTATAAGATAACAATATTATAGACTTTTAAAATTGAATGCTTTTAAGTTTTAGTTCACTTGGCAAAAATAATATGAATAACATCGAGTGACTGTACATGTAGCATTCATAAAAAAATACTAATTTAATAAATAATGAACACCTATTATAGTTACGTATCTAGGCATTAATCAAGTTTCTCAAATTTACAATTGGCTTATCAACGGATAAGTCGTATAATTTGTGATGAATTAATTAAAAGGTGTTAAAATATATAGGTATCATGTTCGTGTTGATATAAGTGTAATTAAGTCGTAATAGTATAACAAAGTACTGTATGAAAGTATCGTAAAATTTTGTATTTAAATATTCTATTTACAGATATAAAGAGTAATTTATTACAAATAAATACATTTTTCAAATAAACTGTATAAAATATATATATACTGTAACCCATTTTTCACTTAGCATATTACAAAAATTAAAATTAAAAATTATATTATGTTCATTGTCCGATAGTTTTGCAGAAATATATGTGTAGGATAGTTCACTAGTACATGCTCACCGCAATATTATTATTTTATTATTACAATATTACAATAGRTACCCTTTTATAATAAACTCATCCAAATGTTGATTTTTGGACTTTTTACCGTAAATTAGTTATTATTTATAAATAAGATTTTTTTGAAAATGTTGATGTATATAAATCGAAAATCTAATAAGATTTTCTGTATTTTGGGTACGTAATTTATTAGACGTTAAGACTTATGCACTTAAAGTACTATATAATACTATATAATATATATGATCTAGATTATAGACATAATAGTCCATGATAATAGGTTTAAAACATATTCGGTACTGTGATGATTWGAAAATTATCGTAGGTAATTAATATTAATCTGTTTAAATTATATAATTTATTAAAAATGTTATATTATGATTAATAGATAGCTAGTAGGTGGTGGCAGTATTGTGATAAGCAGTTCYCACCTGTTCCTAGTTTTTGAACTGGGAAAAAAACAAGATAGGTGGTAGGTATACTATGCTTCAAAAGTTATAATATTTTATCGATTTTACATTTTATTTACAACCATTATTCAGAAATATTATTCTAAGTAAGTTTCTAAAGCTTAATAACTTCTGACCTAGGTACTCAGATGAATTTATATTTTGATTTTTGAGAATTTTCAATAAAATAATTTGGTTAACATTTTACCGTTAAAAAGGACTTCTCTCGTTTAAAAAAAAAATGTATATCAAAATAACAAAATACTTTTTAAATGGTAAAAATAATTTAATTATATATATATATATATATAATAATCTATCCTTCCTGTTTAAAAATATAGTCTTTATAATGATTTAAAAACTCCAAAACATTTAAAATTTAAAATCAATTATTGAAGGATGTTAGGGGTTTAAGCAATGAGAGTGCTTGGTGAAACATGACGTATTTAATATTCTCGAAACGTGTATATACAATACATACGTACCAACAGGGTCGATGAATGTTATATGGTCAACGATATTACGTTTGCTCAAGTATAGAACTATCTTGCCATCAGGCGAGGACTTTTTGAAGACGTTAAAATTCAACACCATTATTACTGATGTTCGATGAACTATAATTGCACTGCAAGACGAAAGAGTGACTTCTAAAATGCGACTAACTGGTTAAAATATAATAAATGTGATCAGGTGTGTCTTAAACGACGCTATTAAGGTTTCACTGTACAGCCGAGTTAAGCTCGTTAAGTCATGTACACTACTATCATATATACATATATATATATCATATATACATATATATATATATATATATTGTTGTTATTAAATTAAGTTTAAAACCGAACTAGGTACGTCACTGTTTTAATTTTCAATGCCAAAGGAAACCCTGTTTTTGGACATTAAAAATGATTTATATACATACATATACTAGGTTCGTATTTTCTTATATATACAAACCTATACACATACAGTACATGTATATAAAATGTACATAGCATATAACATGTTTCATATTAAATGCAGGCACGCGCCTATGTTTTTGTTAGCATCATATGTGGATTGCGGAAGTTGTGCAACTGCAACGGACATTAAATAAATATTTAATTAAATACATTGCAATATATGACGTGTCATTATTTCGTACACTCATATAATATAATTTTGAAAAGGCTGACTAGGGTTCTATATAGGATGTCACGCCATCACAGAGATGTTATATACATCCTCAGATATCATACAAAATTGATTATTTGTATAATATTGATCGCGTGGAAACCGTATAAATGTATACAGCGTTGATTGAATGATTTGAACGTTGGAAAACACAAAATTATTTTAAATTTCGCTTTTATTTCAACGTATTTTATTGGAATATTATAATCATTTTTATCATAATAATAGATCTAATCATCGAACAACAAAATATATATTTTATTGGCTTTTTAAATCGTCTTATTTCAATTTTTCGCTTAATATATTTCGTATATTATATTAGGTAGTGTATAAAAAATTGTTTAACTAAAATGTCGTACAATATATATATATATATTATATATAGAATTTATAGATACTAATATGCATTTTTTTGATACCAAAAAAAAAGGGAACATGGATCTATTTGAAATACATGTAAGATTTACGTATGTCAGAAAAAAAAATATGTCAGATTGTAGAGACTATCATTATTTTCTTATTGCCTATAATATGCATTGTTGGCCTCTACGGAAGACATAGAGTGTGTTTTATCATTAATTAATAAGCGTATTTTTTAGGATTTTAAAATTCATTGACTKATTATTGCTTTAAAAAGACGATTCTGAACATTTTAAAACTTAATGAAGAATTTATTTCATGGAAACGATTTTGAAAAACTAATTTAGATTTGTTTGATATAGTTGATTATGTTTGGTTGTTTTTTGAACTTTATTTATTGTTTATTATTATAATTAAATATTTTGGAAGAATAATCATAATTGTATAATAATGATTAGTCTAAACATTTGAAATCTTTTGAATTTAATTTGTAGAACAACAACAATATTCTTATGATACAATTAAAATATAAAAACATGTAAAAATTAAAAGTCAACAATAATATATTTTATTAAATATAATAAATTATGTCAGGAGCTGGTAACTTTCACAATACAAAATAAATGGCTGTATCAAATTTCGAAATCCCCGAAAAATACGTTTTACTGAGTATAATATGTTTTACCTACGTTATTTCTCCAATGTAGACCACACAGAACTCATCAATTTAGTCAACTTTTAGTAAGGTTTGCAACGAGGGATATAATAGTTGCTGTTTTGCGGTAACGGTGTCACACGCTCGGGTTATTCGGTTAACGGTTATTCGGGTATATCAAGAAACTCGTGTACGCTGTACCTATGTGCTGTGAACAGAAACTCGTGAAAAGCTCCGTTGTAATCGTAACCAAGTTACATGTCCCTTTGAACAAGAGGATGGAATAAAACGAATTTGAATCGGATTAATTATACGCACATCAATTTGATTTATGTTTTCGAAGCGGAGTACTAAATTAGTACTTAAATTAATTAATAAATACACCTACGAATTCAGTTGTGGTTTTTTTTTTTTTTTAAATTAACTTTAACTCTCGGATTTATAAGTACACTATAATATATATCTTATAAGTATTATGTGAATGTCACATTAAACCTAGAGTAATATTGTTTGGGTGATTTTTTTTATAACCTCATAAACTAATATGACTGTTTTAAAATTAGGTATACCTATATTCGAGTTACATGCACACTTGTGTTTTGAGTGCAAGTATTTAGTATTTGTAGCCTTTATTTTATACAGTAGAAGTGATTGTTATCTACTGTTATATAGCGTGAACAAACCGTATTTTAATGACATTAAGTTTAGACGACCATGTCGAGAAAACTTTATATTGTTGAAATAAAAAAAACGTAGAGAGGACCACTCAGCTGTACAGCATAATATTATATAGAATAGATACTTCTTCGTTGAGTAAGTCTCTGTAATGTAATGTGTTCAATTTTAATTTAACGATAAATGACCACATACCAAAAACGATTCTGGTCKAAGATGTTCTGTCAACCAATATTCTGCTACCGACTAAAATTATTTATTTTACTATAATAATAGGTAGGCGCCTGATACAATTGATGGTATYCAAACGAATTACATTTTTTTTTAATTCCGAAAAAATATCATGTGTTATTTTATTATTATTATGATAGTATTATGATAGTACTTATATGTATTTGTATAATATATTATTGTTATCAACTTTTGAGTCAATACCTCTTTATCTTAGAATGGTGGTAGGTATTCGTTTTAATTGTAGTTTATGGTATAAATAGGCAAAATAAAAGTCTCAAATTCAAACGAAATTATAAAAGGTTAGATACCTTTGTACGCCACCTTCACGATGAAATTTCGGTGAAACAGTCGATTGCGTTTTCCATAGTTTGTGTAAGGTTTATTATATTATTATAGAGTCTTAGAGGATCTTATACTAATTCTGGCCTTCGAGGACATATCGTGTGTTTATATGAACATTAACCGTAATATTGTGCAACAAACGCGCCCGCAGGATAAACTCACACTCAGGGAGATCACATTTTTGTTTTTTATACTATTACTATTTACAAAATGGGCATCATATCACATAATAAATAATAGGTTCACAAATATCTGTAGGTATCTGATATACTAGATTAGGAACTGTTAGCAAAATTATTAGGTACAAAATAATTAAAGCTCGTTCGCCTCAGTGGGTTAGAAAAATGCCCATGACAATTTACTATTTAGGTGATATATACCTAACCTAACCTAATATATATACCTAATATATACCTACAGTAATATTACTGAACACACATACCTATATTATTTACATAATCGTGACAATATGTCAACAGAGAAAATAGTGAAAAAATATTAATTTGACGACACGAATTTCCTTATCTAATGTAATATATGTAAAGACTGTGGTTATATAGTGTGCTATTTGATAGTGATATAAAAAATAACAAACAGACAAACAGTTTAGATCATATTTATAATTTTATATCTTGTTGAAAAAAAAAAAAAGTTTTTCGATAAATATTTTTTATGTGCTTTTTATGTATCGTTATTACTTCTTTGTAAGCAATTATAATCAGTATAATCGCGGTGACTCGTCATTTTTTTACGATCTCTTATTTTTACATCATTCATCATCTTAAGGTTTAATAGCTAAATTTATATGAAACAAAGAATAAATAATAGTTTGCATTATTGGAAAAAAAAGGTACCTACATTGGAAAAAAAGGTACCTACATAGGTAAAATTCTAAAAATTCAATGAATGTTTGATATGAGAATGAATGATGTGTCATTTTGTATGTGATAATATACACTATATTTTATAACGGTAAAAACACTGATTTTTAACTTTTTTTAAAATTTTTTTTTTTGTATAGTTGCAGRTAGTTTTGGGAGATCAATATCGATCAGTAATCAATAATTATTGATAAATTGATTTTCCTAGACACGTCTATTTATAACATGGACTTAAATTTACACCGTTCTACGGTAAATATGTGTGAACTTAAAATTAGTAACAATAATGATATGAATATAATTTAAATACATACTTACTTGTAATTATAATGAATTCTTTTTTTGGCAAATATAATTTATCCCCGACGTAGGTATTATAATAGCATTATAAAATAAACATAATTAAATAATTACTAATAATACCTAGGGTATTATTGACTACAGGCAGACGGCCTTCACTCAGAATCGTTTTTCGTAATGATTGATCATCGAATTGAAATTAAACAGATTTGTTAAGGACTGTAAAAGTAAGTGCTTAAATTGTACCCAGATATTAAATTTTTTTATTGATTATGATATAATTAGAAAGTGTACGATAGTATATTCTTAAAAAATAAAGTCCTCGCGTTCCTCCACGTCATCATCCAATTAAAGCATTGTATTTACAGTGACCTAATCAATGACGAGTTACACACTCGACACCTATAGGTACAATTTACTGTGAAGCTATGTGGTGTAAATACCTACCCACTTTTTATTATGTTAATGATATTATTTTATTTTAAAGTCTGTATAATAACAATTTAGCTGACAATATTTTAAATACAATTACGTAATTAAATTTTATTTCTATTTTTAAAAGRTCTTATTTTGTTATATCAGTTGTAAGGTTCTAATCCGGCATTCTTTGTCTATATAATTAATTGACGAATAACATGATTTTAGCTTAGAGTTGTGGAGGTTCGTTCATATATTATAATATATAGTATTATTAATATTATTATATTAGGTATGCACTTACGGCTTTGTCTTATTATATAGTTGATTAATAACAAAGGCAATCTTTTAGTTAGTTGTTAGCTCTTTCAAGTGGATGATGTGATAATGATGATAAATAATGACTTCACGGTACTGCACAGCTGTTTTCTAATTTCCACTGACAGCCGCGTCTAACCATTTTTCTAAATGAGTTCTGTTTAGAACTGCCATTACTTGCAAGATGATCTGATTGATATGGCCATGTGGGCTAGTGCGTTGAATTTAATGTTTGACATTTCTAAATATTGTGCAATGACACTTCTGAGGGTCAATAATCCACCAGTCTT